GACAATGATGCACATTTTAATAAAGCACAGCATAAACTGTTCTTTCTATTCTGGGCTGGCAGTGTATGTCTGTCCCGTCGGATCGGGCCGCCGGCTGCTCCGCCTCCAACAGCACCTTCCCTTCTGCTGCCTCCTCCCTTGGACCCAGCCCTAGGGGCCTGCTCTTTCCGGTCTGCTTTCTTCTTGTAGGGCACAAGCCTGTCCTCCCATTTCTTGCTAGTCTTCTAGGGCCCTCCCCTCATCCTTCTCCCCATCGCTCTCCTTGGTTATCCAGTAAAATTCGCATTACCATGCGGGACCCAGGGTTCAGAGAATCATGTGACTGGAGGGAGTGGATAGACAACTTAGAATAAAGAGAATGGCCACCCACACTGGGCCCAGGCCCATTTAATTCTCCCAAGATGGAGTTTGGTTTTGCTGCTTGCTGTTTTGTGACCCTGGGCACCTCTGGCTTTGTTAGAGGGGTTATGGGCTGCCCTGTACATCTTGAGCCTTGGTTTCTCCGAGGACTGTTGGAGCCAGAAAAAGACTGGGGAAGAAGGAGTTTGAAAAACTTTGATTTCATATTTCTATTTTACAGGTGAGGGAACTGAGTCTTAAGCGAACTTGCCAGGCGTCCCCAGATGACAGGCGATGCTAGCAAACTCCTCAGCATCCTCAGACTTGATGTCACAAAATCCGTCTGTGGGAGGGGCCCACTACAGGAAGGCTGCCTGAAAGTGTAGTATTTAAGCTGAATGAGTATTTCCTATTTTGCAAGTTTGCTTTAATAAACCTGTATTATTTTAATATTGGAAAATAAATGTAACCCAAAGGTCAGGTTTAGTCTCGTGTCCCCTGAGATTTAAGTATGGTTGACTCAACAGCCCTCCCCTAATACACATGGAGTAGAAGCCCCAGACCCCCAGAGCGCTTTAGATCTCATGGTCACCTGAAAGGGACACCTTTCTCAACTTCCACACAAAACTCTCTCCCAGGCAGCCCCAAATATTGGAGGCTTATTGAAAGAGGAGATATTTATTTGAAAGGGTCTACTTGGACTTTAGACTTGAACTTTCAGTGCGCTGCTCTTTTAACATTCTGGCTCTTGAAAGCCCCTCCATGCCTATCTTTCCCCTTCACCGGAATAATCCTTGGCTTCAGGTCATAGTGCTGGCTTCTCTCTCCTTCACTCCTCTCCCCCTTCACCCTTACCTCCTGGAGACCCACCCCATCCCACCTCTACCCCAGGACTCTGTTCTTCTCTCCATTAAGTGAAGTATTCCTGCTGTTTCCTTCCCCATCAAACTCCATGCAGGCCCTACTCTGCCTAACAGCCCATTCTGCCACTCTGCAGAAAAAGGGCCTCCCTCTCTGTAAATACTCCTTACCCTCCTTCGGAGGCCCTTGTTGTTATTTTAGCAAGAAAAAACTTTTAGCCTCTGTATTGATAAAGTCTCTCTATTGCAAGTGATTGATGTTAGTTCAAGCAAAAAAGGAATTGACTGTTTCAAGTGGCTGGGAAGGATATAAGCTAGGGATTAAAAGAAAGAACTATAGGAACCAGGACAGCCACTGGGGTGGAATTAAGGATTCAAACTCACTGAGACTGTTGCTCTGTTCCTCTCTCATCCCCTATTAGCTCCTCTGGGCAGGGAACATGGCTGCAGCTGCTTAGAAATCCCAGGAAGGGAGAGTTGCTTTCTCCCAGTCTCAGTGTACCTATCCCTGGGAAGAGCAGTGATTGACCCTTTTTAGACCACATACACATTCCTTGGGCCAATTACCACTATCGGGAAGATGGGAGACTAATTGATCAGGCTGAGCCGTAAGCCTACCCTTGAGGTGCCAGCACAGCCAAGTGATTGACAGCATCACAAGAAAATAATGGGTAAAAATGGAGAAAGAAACATTCTAGGAGCAGGGACAGCTTAGGCAAAGATTGCGTACGCCTAGGAGGAAAAGAAGCTTGAAAAAAAAAGGGAGGGGTAGAGAGTGGAAGGGGCCAGTGTGACAACTCTATTTCACAGCAATGAGGAGCCTTGGACAGTCTGACCAAGAGTCAGGCCACTGAGTTCTAGTTCAGGCTTTGTCCCTGTCTCAGTCAATAAGATCTGCCGGCCAGTCTTGTGCAGGACACTGGGGATTCAGCAGTGAACCTGACAGACAAGGGCCTTGACCCTCATGGATCTCACATGGCCTAGCAATGAGGCTTCACTTAGGCAGGTCCCTTCCCTCTGGGCCCATTTCCTCACTAGTTTGGAAAAAAAAAAAAAAAGCACCAGCTGATCTCTATGGACCTTGCCAGCCCCCAAAGTCTAAAGCCTTCCTGTTCTTCCTTTCTCTCTTCTCATCTCCCTCACTTCCTTTCTCCAGTCTTTCAAACCCTCCTTTCCTTTAAAAAAAAGATCGAATGCCATCTCCCAGATGCTAGGTTAATGAGGGATACAAAGATTCCAGACAAACACCTTGCCAGTGGGCCAGAACCTGGGGCTAGATAGCTCTAAAATATCATGCGCAAGGGGAAAGGTCATTCCAGGTGGAGGGAACACTGTGAGCAAAGGACTAGAGGCAGAAAAGTGAACAAATTCAATTAATTCAGTTCAATCAACATTCACCAACACCTCCCTGGGCCTCGCTGGATGCTTTATCTGACAGATCCCTTGCCTGTGCAGAGCTCAGAATTCAGGGGAGCCAAGGATGAGTTAATAGAAAAGAAGCTGGATCATGGAGGCCTTGAGTTTGAACTTTGTTCTGTAGGTGAACGGGAGGATGACAGGAACTAACCTGGGTCACTTCACTCTATTTCTCCTCTCCCTTTCCATCCTGCTCTCTGTTGCTTCTTCCTCTTTCCCCTTGGAAGTCACTGGCGTAAACTCCAGTCCAGGATTTGAGTCCTGACTGCCATTTACTAGCTGTGCAACTTTGGGATAGTTACTTAGCCTCTCTGAGTCTCTATTTCCAAATCTGTAAAATGGGGCTAATGACACCTAATGGAAGCTTTCAGTAAAGTCATGCAGGTATAGCACTGGCGGGAATCTCGGGCAGAGATTGCTGCTGCTCCTACCTTTGGTTGGCTTCAAGGGGCAGCAGAGAGCTATCCAGCGATGTCCCCAGGGGCTGGGTGATGCCCAGCCTTGGAGAGGGTTGGGGAATCTTGCTTCCCTCTGCCAACTTCCTAGCAATTCTGCTCAGGAGATGAGGAACTTGGTGGGGGTGGACATTTTCAGGGGAATCCCAAATGGGAAAGGCGGAGTTGCCTCCCTCACCCTAGAGGGTAAAGCTGTCCCCAGACCCCAAAGCAGGACCCCCACATCCCAGCCTCATTCCCTGGGCCTGAGGAATGAGGAGAGACCCAGGGAAGGGAGCATACTCAGTTCACTGCCTTTCCTGACTTCTCTCTCAGACACCTTATTAGCCAGCCCCTCCCTTAAAGACCCTCTTTTAGAAGGAGGGGGCGAGGTACAGATGGACCCCCCAGGTTACCATGGAGATGGCAGGGAAAGGGTTGCTGTATCACCATGACAACAACTGACGTCAGCACTACCCTTTCCCATCGCTTGATATGAGAGGGGGGCAGCCACCCCAACCATAAGCACAAAGCCTCCTTCCTTTACTGAGCCAATCAACCAAGGGGTCGACAGGCTTAATATAGCACAGGAGTTAAAAGCACCGACTCTGATGTCAGTCAAACCTTGGTTCAAATCCTCTTTCTACATCATCTTAGCTGTTTGAATTTGAGCAAGTCCCTTAACCCTGGAAATCTAGTATGTACAACGGGGATAGAGAGCTACATGCCTCTGAGGGTTAATGTGAGGATTGCAGGGAATCATGCAGGTAACAGGCATTGAGCCAGCTCATGGGAAGTGCACACCTATGTTAGTGACTCTCTAGAATCCTGGGGACCTGTCAGGGCATTGTGGCTTTTCAGATACAGACTCACAGCCCATAGAAGGCCCCCAGGACTCCAAAGAACTAGGCCCTGAGTTTGAGCATCTCAGAATTTGGGGGTCTGAAGATGAAAGCCATAGAGTGGAATTTCCAGAGTCCGAGGAAACCCCAGATGCCACTTTCCCTGAAACCCCATCACATCCGGACTCTGACCCAACTTTCCCTTTCTCCCCCCCCCCGCCTCCTCCTAGGCCTTCTTTAGTAGCGCTTCTGCCTCTTGGGACTCCATCTGCTTCTCCAGGAAAAAGGATGGATGAAGGCCATGGGAAAGACATCAGGCAACCTGACATCAGGTAGATCAGTAGGTTGGACCCCACAGGGATATGGAGGTCCCAGCTCCCACTGGCCTCTCCCCACTTGCCCTTGGAGTAAGAACACTGGAATCGTTCTCATCCGCTCTCTCTTCCCCAACCCTCAGTCCAGGTCACCACAATCTATTCTGCTCCAGTTCCACTGCCACCACCCTGAATCAGGCCCCTATCACTACTAATTTGAGTGACTCCAGCAGCCTTCTAACCAGTCTTGTGCTTCCTTCCCTGCTTGATTCCTCCAGCCCAGAATTATTCTATAAAGACCACAAAGCTAGCCATGTCATTCTCCTATTTAAATCTCATCAACAGCTTCTTTAAATCACTTGTCCAACCATGTAGACATCACTGAGTTCTCCCCACCTTTCAGCATACTGTTCCTTCTGCCTGGAATAGCCCCCTCCCATCCCACTTACCCCTCAGATCTCCACCAATTGTCACTCCTCAAAAAAGTCTCCCCTACCCACCTGTCCTTCCCCTCCCATAGCACCTGCTTGTCGCACTGTGTACTTATCTCTTCCTTGATCCCTGCTGAATGCCCATCTACCTCATTAAACTGTGGACTCACTGAGGGCAGAGGTTGTGTCATTTTCATCATGACATCCCTGGGGCCTAGAATGGAAGGGCTTAGGAATTTGTAGAATGTCTGCAGATTAGACTAGCTGGTGAATGACTGCTTGATCAGTCCACAAAGGAGAGGCTGAGTGCTGTGAGGAGAAGGAACAGCAGACCCAGTGGGGGCCTGGGGTGGGGGTGGGGTGGGGGTTGGAATGGCATCCCTAAGGAACTTACACTGGAACTGAAACCAGAAGCAGTTACCCAGACAAGGACATGAAGGCAGGATATAGCCCTAGCCCTGGGCTATGTGCCACAGGTGAAGGTGATGCTGAAGACACTGTGAAGAGTGCCATGTTCATGTCTTGGGAAGACCACCCTAGTTGCTCTGTGAGAACAGATCACATAAGAGATCAAGGGTAACAGAAGGAAGATCATTCAGGAGGCTGCTGCAGCCTCCCAGGTGAAAGATGATGGGGCCTTGGACCAGGTGTTAGCAGTGGAGATGGAGAGGCAATTGGATTTCAGACACATGCTAGAGAGGGTGAGGTTTTGTAACTGCTTGAATATAAAAAAGGAGAGACAGGGAAGAGTTTAGAACCAATCCCAGATTTCCAGTTCAGGCAACCGAGAATATGGCCAAGCTGCAGAACATGGGAGGAAGGGCAGATGTGAGGCACGTTTGCTGTGAGGTGAGCCATCCCGGGGGAGGGGTCCAGGAAACAAGTGTCGACAGGGAAAAGAGGTCTGGGCTGAAACAGAGAAGTGAGTCTAACACAGGTGGACATCGAAGGCGTGCGAACCAGTGAGATTTCCTGGGAAAAACTGTAGCCTGCCCAAGAACACCCATGATTAGGCAGTGAACAAAGGATGAGAAACTTTCCACGTGGCAGCAACCAGTAAGATAGCAAAACAACAGTAACAAAAAAAATCAAGAGTGCAGTGTCCAGAAAAACAAGGGCACGAGAATATTTCAAATAGGAAGGAGCATTTGTGTCAAAGTCAGCCACTGCTAAGGGGTCAAGTCAGATAAAGACTCAAGCATCCCTAGATTTAGCAACAAGGAGGTCAGTGGTGACCTTGACAAGCTGATCCTGTGGAATGGTGATGGGGGAGGAAGCCATCTGCAGGGGTTGAGGGAGGAAGTGGAAACAGCGTATGTACACAACTCTTTCAAGAATGTTGGCTGTGAAGGGGGAGCTGGAGAAGGAGCTGGAGTCGAAGGAAGGCTTTCTTCTTTCTCAAAGATAGGAAAGAGTAGAGGCTGTTTGTTTGCTGCTGGGAAGGAGCCATCAGGGAGGGAGAGGTTGGAGATGAGGAAGGGTGAAAGGAGGAAGGGTGAAAGGAGGAAGATTCCCCAAGGAGGGAAAAGAGGAGGTTAAATCCCCAAATATGGCCACACACTTTGGTGGCGGGGCAAGTCGGAGCCTGTACCAGGCTCTGGGGGCTCAGAACAGCTGCCCACTCTCCCCAGCAGCCAGTGTGAGTCATTGGAGGGGTGGGGAATAGCCCACACTGGCTGTGTGGGAAAGGGAGTGAGGCCAGCATATTCCTCAGGATCCCCAGAGGGGTGGGGGAGCAGGGCCCAGCCTGGGCTCTGAGCCCTGAACCCCATGCTCTGACCAAGACAAGGGCACAGAGAGGTTGTCTCACCTTTTGTAGGGGCAGGCAGAGTAGTAGGAAGCCTGGGGTTTACTTTTGGCTCTTCTTTGCGTATCTTGGAACCTCATTTTCCCTTTCTGCAAAGTATGGCTTTTTTTTTTTTGGTGGGGGTGGGGAGAATGTCATACATGTCTGGGACCCCTTTTAGATTGTTTCTGAGGCGGGAAGCCCCATAAAAAGACCGGCAAGACCCCCAAACAGAGCCACTACTCTCCTGCCAGCACCATCCAGTTCCCTGGCCCAGAAGCTCTCTCTCACTTTTTGCCTCTGAAACAGCTTACTTACCCCTAAAATGCTATTGGTTCCCTGAGCTCACTTCTGATTGGTTATTTCCTTCACTCCCAATTGGTTATTACTCTCACTTCTGATTGGTCAACTTCCCTAACTTTTGATTGGTCCATTTGGAGTACTTCATTTGCATGGAGCTCACTCCTGTTTGGTTACTTCTCTCACTCCTGATTGGTCTATTTCTACAAAGCTTATTCCTAGTTGGTCAACTTCTGTTATACTTTATTTGCATATGATGTTGCAAAGTGTAAAACTGGCAGCCTATAAAGGCCTGTGTAAACCTGCAGACAGGGTCCAGAACTTGGAGTGTTAACTTCTTTAAGCCCGTTAGCATAGTAAATCTGAGTTCTCCAACTCCGAGTGCTCCTTGGTCTGTTACCCAGTTACAGTTGGCTGTCAGTTGGCTGTCATAACTGAGCTATAACACATTTTTCTGCAACATTTTCAGAAATATATGTGTGTCTGGAACTGTGTAGACAGTTTAGGGTGTCCAGGAGCCCCCATAAACTTACCCCTGGCCTCTGGATAGGAACACCTGAACTAGAGTTGGCTGAGGAGCCCTTCTGCTTCTGATACTTAAGCGTGCCCTGGAGCAGGGGAAAGGCGCTTGTAAGGGCTGTGGGAGGCAGGGGAGTGGGGGTCCTAAGCCCAGGAGCAGCAAGGCCTTTGGAAGTGTGAGCTCTTGGCGAGCACACCATTAGGGTTGTGAGCAGAGGCTGGAGGCCCCTGGGTGGAATAAGGAAGGGTTTATTCTACCCGCAGCTGACCTTCCTGCTTGTGTTCTGCCTTCTGTTCTTGATCCTGGGGGAAGTACGGTAAGGTCTCAGGGGATCCTCCAAACACTGGTGACCAGTGCCTTCCCACTGAAGCGGCTGGTGAAGACCGACCACGAACTAGACCTCGCCCAAGGGTCTGGCGCTGCCCCACCCCCACCCCTCTGCCAGCTGACTCCTCCTGCTAAAAAAAGCGGGGCCCGAGGGGACTATGGGCTTTCAGGCCTCCCCCTCCACGCCCGGGCAGTTATTAAAGAGGTTGAAGCCGGGCCAGGCCTACTGGACACCATGCTATTCACTGAAACTGCCCACTTGGTGGTGAATTTTCTACTGTCCTGGTGAGGGGACCTGGGGGGAGGGCGCCGGCGGGATGAAGAGCCCAGGTCTCGCAGCTCAGAGGGGAGGAGAAGCCCAGATTCTTGGGAAGGCCCCGACAGAGGCCTCCAATTCCTCTCCCCGTCCTTCTAAGTCGGCCAAGAGTGATTCCGGGCCTCGCCCCGCTGCGTATGACCCCAGGCGGCCGCCTCCTCCCCGCCCGTCGTGCCTCTGGGGGTGACCGCTGCCCGGTCTCCCCGGCAAGAGCCCCCGGGCCACGCCCCCACACCGCCTGGACCGGTAACTGTGTTTCTTCGACTGTCGGGGCCCAGCCTTGCCGGCGTCCGGCGCCCGCTGAGTGGGCGATTACTGGCTGAGCCCGCAGCACCACCGCCCGCCGGGCGGTGCCTGGCGCTGGCCTGCGCACAACCTGCTGCTGCTGCCAGGGACCACCGGGCTGACGGACGTGCCCTCCGCACGAGGGCCCAGCTGCTACGGCGCGCGCCCGCGCTTCACGTGAGCGCGCGGGGCGGGGCAAAGGCCTTGAAAAGAGAGGGGCGAGGCCTATGGTAAGGGGCGAGGTTTTGTGGGAAGGTGCGGATCCCCAGAGCCGAGGACTGGTCAGAGGTTGGATAGGCTGGGCTTGACGGTGCCTGGGAGCGGGAGGAGGGGACGGAACTGACTGGGAAGGGCGGGGCCTGAAGCGGCTGAGCACGGAAGAAGGAGGCGGGGCTAGGCGGCGTGGGAGTAGACGCAGAGGGAACTGGGAGCCTTACTCTCATACTGTCGGCCTAACTTTCCCTCCCTCCAGGTGAAAGCACCGGTGGAGAATATTAACTACCAATACCTGGTTAAGAGGAAGAGACATCTAGTTCCCCTGCGCCCGTGAGAGCCGGTGAGGGGCGGGGCGAAGAGGGCGCTACCTCGGCGGGGCGGGCCTAGAGGCGGGGCCTAACGGAGGAATGGGGCGGGGAGAAGGGCAAGGGCTGAGCACGAGGTCCGTCCGCCCTGACTTCCAAGGTCGAGGACTAGGAGGGGTTGAGCAGTGAGAGGCCCCGCAGGCCTACGTGTGAGTTTCTTCGGGTTATTCATTCCCACCATTCTCAAACCACCACATTTTTTTTAATTGACAGATTGGACTATATTAAAATTTCTGTTCATCAAAAGAGACCCAAAGAAGTAAAATAGAGTTCCAAAGAGGGCACCTCAAGAGTAATGCCAGCGTTGTGCCCAGTACAAGGAGTGTGGGAACCAGAATAGGTTATGCCCTCGGGCACCAACTGGGTCAGTGCCAGGAAAGGGGTGACCCCAGCCCCAGGCCTGGTGACCAAGCTAAATGACCTAAGGGAAAGGGTCTGCCTAAGAGGCACTGTCCTGACCATCATCCTGTGATCATCCTGTGTGTGTCTGTGTTAGCTTCACATTTTGGGACATCTCTGAATGTCTTCTGCATCACCTCTGAGCATGGCTCTGTTTCTCTGTGTGTCTGTTTATCCCTGGTCTCTGTATCTATTTATTTATTCAACAAATACTTATCAAATACTTTAGTGGGTTGTGCCAGGTTTGTACTCTAAGTCACTGACTTTACATTGCTGAAAGGAACAGTTGAAGTCTCTCTCCTCATGGAGCTTACATTCTGGTTGGGGAGACAATAAAGAGAGGTCCAAGATAAACAGGATGCTGTGTTTGGGAAGAACAAGGTGGGCCAGGTGCTATTTTTTATGGAGTGGGCAGGCACTTCGTTTTACTCACAGATCTAAAACAGTGCCTGACTCATAACTGGGGCTTACTAAAGATTGCATGAATGCATGGCCAGGAGTTCCTGGCTGAGGAGGTATCTCTCAATCAAGACTTAAAAGGATGAGAGGTCAGCCACTCCAGACCCTGAGAAGAGTGTTGTGTGTGGAGGGAACAGCATATGTCTAATGGTGGCCCTTTGCCTCTGGATGTCTCTCCTGGAGTATCCCTTTGGCCATGTCTCTGTTCCTGTCTATTGTCTCTGTGATTTTGGGAGCTGTAGGCTGGTTTAAACAGGGCCTCTCCAGGGTCTCTGGAAGTGAGGTCACTTCTGAGCTGAGTCACTCCACTGACCCACTCTGACCCAACCAGCCTGGTCTGGCCATTCCCCTGGAAGCAACCCCTCCCCACAGTGGCCTCAGTCCCACGATCTCTGGCTCCTTCCCAGGATAGCATCCTGCGGCCCGGAAGGAAGTCCTTCGTCCTGTGTAACCACAGTCCCTGCTGGGGCAACCGCAGCCCTTTCCTCTCATTCAGCCTCATGGGCAGAGGGGAGGAGATGGAATGTCTCTGAGGCAGCAGATCCTGCTTGGACAGAGAACCCAAGTAAGGACCTGAAAGAGTGGAGTTGACCACCCCTCTGCAGCCCCAGGGAGGTGAACCTCAGAGGGGCAGAGATGATCACTCATATTAGAAGCCTCTGCCACATCCATTGTTTCATTTAATCCTTCAGCATCCCATTTTATAGATAGACACTCAGGCAGATCCAGAGAGGAAAACGTGGCAGAACTGGGACCAGAACTCAGGTCTCTCGATAAAATAGTAATAATTATAACAGGTAATATTTATTGCATGTTTCCTCTCAGCCAGGTACTATGCTAAAATTTTGCTGCCTCATCACAACCCTATGATGTATCATTGTTATTCCCATTATCCTCAGATAAGGGGATAGGCTCAGAGCCATTAAATGACTCGCCCGAGAACACCCAGCGGCTTCACAGCTGAGCTGCACATGAGCCCAGGCAGTGTGGCATGCCCAGCTCCACACCCTGTGCCCTGGGTTTCAGAGGAGTGTCACCAACGTCTGTTTTTCCAGGGATTTGGGGAGGCAGGCCTCAGGTTCATTGCATGATGGTCCTGAGGCCGACTTGTGCCAAGCCAGGATGAGCAGGAAGACAGCCTGGGAGCACTGCACAGTCCCATGTCCCCTCTCTGTGGGTGAAGATTGTCCACCTTTGCCCTCTCTCCTGGGGTCTCTGTGTTTCTGCCCTTCACTGCGCAAATAAAGCTGCTTTCGCCGATTTCTGGCTCTCCCTACTTCAGGGGGTGATTGAGGTCTCTATTCTCCCCAGTCACACACACTTAGACTGAACCCACAGGGCTGGGAGGGCCTCCGCAGCCACCCCTGACCATCCCATTGCACCCACAAACCCCCATGGGCTAGACTGGATGAACCCCACTTGCTCCGCTCCCCAGGCTCTCACAGTGCCGTAGAAAGGTAGAGACATCCACCAGCTCAGTAAAGTGCCACAGGAGGGGGACACTGGGACACAATCAGTCTTCTGGAAGGTCAGGAAAGCCCTTAGAAGTTCCTTGAGCTGAATCTTGACAGGTGGGTAGGCCCTTGGTAGACATACACGGGGAGTAGCAATCCAAGCAGAGTTGGCAGCATGGAGAAAGGTTTGGTGGTTTGCAGGCTGAAGTGGTCTGGGCATCCCACTGAGCGAATCATGAGACTGGTGGCCAGGTGGGCTCTGCCTAAAATGAGGCCAGCTGGGCCTGGAGCTTCAAAGACCTTGAAGGCCAGAACAAGGGGTTAGGTTCTCCAGGAGGAAGCAGGGAGCCATGGACAGGTTTAAAGCAAGGGAGGGACATGGCCCCATCATGGCATCTCCTGGCCTAGAGCCCTCCGGAGGTCTCAGAATCCGCTCTGGTGAGCGAGTGGTCTCTGGCCCTCAACTAGGCCCAAGGCCCTGGGCACCTGTCCCTGTGTTCCCGTGTTCCCCCTACACACTCTCGCAGGTCCTAACTGGGACGGAGGCCCACTCTGAGGAGTGATTTCATGCAAACCTCCCTGCAGAGGTCAGGCAGAGGGAGCTGATGGCTAGAGGAAGGAGTCTTTGGGCCACTACCCAGACTCATCCACTCAGTGGTCCACAGCAGCTCCCTCCCCCACCCCTGAAGACCCACTTATGACCCATCCTCTGCCTTTTTTTAGGGGTCTCAGTCACATAAACAGTTAACTGCATGACAGCCACCCCAGCTCCCCACACCCAGTGGACCCCTAGAGCTGTCTCCGTTCCTCCTCTAGCCCCACTCTCCATCCACATGGAACTTCATTCCCACCTCTGGTGCTCTCCACATTCTGAATGTCTGCACTTCATCTCCCCCTCTGCTCTCTGCCCTTGCCTGGTTCAGGCCACTTACCCCGTTGTCTGGACCGGTCCTATCGACTCTTTCCTGGTTTATCTTACCTCCAACTCTGTCCTTTCTAATCCGTGTCCTGAGCCTGTTTTGTTTCTCTATGTTTTGTAGATCCCTGTGGGACATCCAGGGTGATCTCCAAGGGCAGCCGGAGTTTTGGACAGATCTGGGCTGGAGACAGAGATTTCTTCATGGTCAGCTTATAGACGCTTTTGTAGATACAAATAGAAAAGGATGGAGGAGAGACAGACAGGCAGACACACACACACAGATCTTCTCTTTTTCTCTCCAGCACAGATTTCATTCCAGACCCACAGATCCTGATGACACCCCAAAGACACCTCAAGTCAACCTGTCCAAAGTTGACCTCTCTGTTTCCATGGAGACCCGCTGCTCCTCCTCTTTGCCCCTCCTTTCACCCATTTGCCCAAGCCATACCCTCGGGCCCCATCCTTGGTCCTTCCTCCTCATTTCCAACATCCTTAGTCCTTTGCTAAGACCTGTCACTTCTGCCCCCTGAGCCCCTCCTTTACTTCTGTGTCTTCTTCCACCTTCAGGAGCATTTGACATGGTGGATCACTCATTCCTTCTGGATGCCATCTCCTCCCTCAGCCTTCAGGATTCCCCTGCTCCCGGTTCTCTTCCTTTCTCTCTGCCCATCAGCTAAATCCCCCTGCTGGGTCCCCATCCAGAGTCTAAATGTCAGAGTGCTCCCGGTGCTGTCTTCTTGAGCTGTTCCTCTCAGTGGATCCCATCCAGTCCTGTGGCTTCCAATTTGAGACACCTCCAAGTTCTCCTCTGAAGTCCAGGCTCATAGATCCATTAACTGCCAGCCTGATGTCCCCACGAGGACTCTCACAGGCACCTAAAACTTCAACTTCAAGGGCACATTCACAGTCCCTGGCACTGGGAATAGTCCCTAGCTCAGGACATGTTGGTGTTGGCTGACTCTCCCTCACTCTTTAGCAGAAGTCCCCATCATCCTTGCCTGGACTATTTCAACAACCCATCTTGTTTCTCTGCTGCGTAGCAGGGAAGAGGGACAATCTAGTCAGAGGGACAGCCTGTGTAAGTGCAGGAAGGAGAACGGGGTTATGGCTTGGCGGATAGCCCAGAGTGTGCTATGGGGATCAGACAGTGGAAACCTCACATGTAAGGTGCAGACTGTCCTGAGGACAGTAGGGAGTCATGGGAAGGGTTAAAGCCAGGGGAATATGTTTGATGCTACATTTCTTTCACTCTTTCATTCATTCCTTCACTCATTTACTCCCCCAGTTAACAGGTATGTATTGAGCACCCTCTGTTGAAAGTGACCCCGACACAGAGGAGAATGGCTGGACTTGTACAGAGAGACAGTGAGAAGCTGATGAAACAGCCTAGGTCCAGGTGAGAAGGGCAGATTGGGAGGGGGAGACAAGGGGATAATGAGCCGAGGTGGGTGGCCTGGTGATGCAGCCCAGGTTCCTGGTTTGGGCGACTGACTAGTGGGAACCCTAAGCCCAGAGGTGTGGATCAGGTGTGGGAAAGCCCTCCTTTCCTCCTGGGGAATCTGAAAAGTCCTCGGGAGTGGTTTGATCTGGGTTTTAAGAGATTTAGAAATCTGACAAGCAGAGAAGTGGAGAGAGGCATGCTAAGTGGATGAAACAACCTGTTCAAAGGCCCTGAGGTGGGAGAAGCTCAGCACTCTGAGGAATCAGATGGCTGGGAGAGTTGAAGTTCCGTGGGCCAAAGAGAAAGAGGAGGGATGTAAGGGAAGTGAGGCTGGGAGCCCAATCTCTTTGAGGCACAACCTGGAGCATCATGGGCTGGTCCCCCGAGATGTAAAGCCTCCCTGTCACACAGGCAGGAAGGAGAATGTGGGGCAGAGCTGGGAGGGGACAGACAGATGATGTGTGTGTTGGAAGAGGGTCCAGAGTATATCTTTTCTGGAAAAAGTCACTAAAAGAAGGCCTCAACGGGAAACTTCTGAGGGGTGAGAGAGAGGGGAGAAAATCCTCAGGGTTCTAGGGAGAGACAGATTCCTTTACCATTTAAGGGATTGATTGACCCAAATAAATTTCCCCTTGAACACTTCAGCGTCCTTAGATCAGTCCCTTCCTCACCTGTCCCAGAAGAAAGTTGATGGAGGGGATACTTGGTTATCCCAGGGTCCCAGATTCCCACCTCCTCGCCTTAGGGCAGGAAGGGAAGAGGAGGGAAGGGAATGGGCACAAGTCTATGTCAGGCTCTCCCCCAGCATTTCATGTAACCGCATTTAGGACCACTGTTGAATATTCCCATGTGCTCTGTGCCTCGGGGCTTGACATCATGGCAGTAGGTTGTTTATCTCACAGTAAACCTAAGAAATAGGCGATCATCGTTCCTGTTTTACAGATGAGGATACTGAGGCTCAGAAGGACCAAAAGCCACAGAGCTAGGATGTGATGGGGCCAGCTCTGCACAATGAAGACTGCCTCAGCACAGCGATGCCTCACGGAACCCTTGCCACAACCCCAAGTGGCACCCGGTGTCCTCATTTTACAGGGTGGGCACTGCAGGACTTGTCAGGGGAAGGGACTTGTCCAGGGTCACAAAGCTGGAAGGGAGCAGTAGTGTGGCTCCAGATCATTTGAAGGAAGAGGCTGAATGGGAGAGGTCATGGGGCAAGATCTGAGCAGTGTGGAGAGGGGGACCTGAACGGGACTAGGAGAGAGTTTCAGTTTCCCTTTTAAAGGGACTTCCCCTGGATGGGGGATTTTGGTTGGAAAGTTGTTAGCAATCCACATTCCATGGGTCTGGCCACCTCCTGGGTGCCTTCCCCAAAGGCATCCAGGATCTGAAAAGAAACTGAAAGTTGGGAGGAAGGGAGGGTGGGGCGGGGGTAAGGGAGAGGCTGAGGCAGCCCAGAACAACTGGGTTGAATTTCTGGTGACCTCACTGAGCCTGGGGGAGATGGGCAGGCGAGCTGGGATTACACACAAACCTCTTAGCTATTGGAGAAATTGAGCCTCAAAGAAACTGTTCTATTAGATAGTGGCTGGGCCCTGTCCAGTGTACACAACCCAAACCTTGCTCCAGACTCAGCCTCTGCCTCTATCCCCACCACACCACCCACACACGACACACACACACACACACACACACACACACACACACACACACACACACACACACACACACACACACACACACCCCAGAGATGAGAGGAAGAGGAGGGGAAAGGAAGAAATAAAAGATCTGGGTGGCCTAAAATTCTGAAGGGAACTTTCAGAATCCCTTGTTTTTTGTGATGTGACTGGTTGGATGCTGGGTCCCAGGAAAGGGCCCCTGAGGTGCTCCAGTATCCAGACCCAGGTTCAAGGCCCAGGACTGGCAGAGAGGCTGCAGACCTGGGTCCTGCTGACAACTAAGCCATAACCCAGTTTTCCCAGGGTGCTGGGGAGTCAAGTCCCAGGGCTCCTGGGCCTGCAGCTGTTTTGTGTCTCCCTGCCGACATCCCTAACTGCTCCTCCCAGACCTGGAGCATCAGAACCCTTCTTGGAGGCCTCCAGAGCCTAGCATGGCCCTGCTCCTCAGAGGTCCCGAAAACTGCTTTCTTTTAGTCCTGACCTCCTCGTCATCTTCTGCTCACGCAGACACGCCACCTCACTGGGCTTCAGTTTCCTCCTCTGTAAAGGGGAACAATGATGGTACACATCTCACTAGGTCACGAGGTAACGTATGGAAAGCAGTTGGCACAGGGCTTGGCGTACAGTGGGCACGTGATCAGTGCTAGCAGCTATGATTATTACTACTATTGGTCATTCTTACCTTTTTAAAACTCTCCCCCTCCCCCATAGTCAAGGATCCCCATGATTCTGTCCTCTAGGGTTCTTCCTCCCCATCTCTGCTGGCTCCCTTCCTGGGGGCCCTCTCCTGCTGCCTGCCCCCCACAACCCCTGCAGTGGCAGAGCTCCCACTGCCCCCTAGAACTTCCTGGATGACCTCATGTACTGCTTGGCTTCAGTTACCCTCTTCCTAGCAACAAACAGAGACCCAGATTTCCTGGGGTCAGTTCTGACTTAAAACCTTCTGTCTATTGTCCCTGTAAGGTCATTAGCCAGACCCTGGCCTTGGAGTCCTGGCCTTGGGCTCAGGAAACACGATCACATGTCTATGTGCTGAAGCATATAGACTTCAGGCTGCCTCCTGGATGTCTCCCGAGATGTTCCCTGGGCGCCTCAGACTCAACTCAACAAGGCTAGATCAAGCAACTCGCTCCCAAGTTTGTTTTTCCTCCGATGCCCTATCTCAGTCATGGGTCCATCTTACCAGCTGTCACCCAACACAGAAATGTGGGCAACAGCATCATCACTCCCACTTCCCCACCCCATCCCTGCACCCAGCCAGTCACCATACCCTAGGGTCCTGTCCCTTAAACCTTGCTCCAGACTCGGCCTCTGCCTCCATCCCTACCCTCACGCAAACCATTTGCTGTTCCCCTTTGTGATGCTCTAAGTTCTTCCTCCATCCCCCAGCCCACCCACAGGCCCCTCCTCCTTGCAGCCCACAGGCCCCTCATCTGACCTGGCTCTGGCTCTTTCTTCCTTAGGTAAGGCATTGCCAGTCTCCCTGGATGGGAAACCCCTGAGGGCAGGGGCCCTGTGTGACTCACAGCTGACACTCTGCCACATAGGGACAGAAGGAGGAACTCCATTCTCTGTGAGTATGAATCACAGAGGCCAAGCTGTCGCTGTGCAGATGAGTAAACTGAGGCCCAAGAGGAGAAAAGACTGGCTTACTGTTACAGAGCAGGCGGAGGCAGACCTGGGGCTAGCATAAGGTCTCTGGGTCCAGCTGATGCTCCACGGAAGGAGAACTGGGATGTGTGTGCCAAGTCACCATTCCTGAGGCCTCCACTGGGACCCAGCCATTCTCTGGTGTCTCTTCCCTCCCCCGGCTTTTGTGTATGCTGGGCCCTCCCCACACCCACCCTCCAACCAGGAAGGCCCATCCTCCATCTCTGGCAAGATACTGCCACTCAGGCCTCACGTAGCATCTAATCTGATCCCCACCCCAGAGCCCTCCTCAGAGGCCTCAAAGTGCCCCCACAACCTTCTTTATGGGGCAACGTTCTCTTCTGCTCTCCTTCCTCCTTCAGCCCCACCCTGTGCTCTCCCAGGGTCCCATTTCCTTCTGTCCATGGGGGCTGGGAGCATCTCAGGCCAGGACTAAGGTCTGAGCCTTTACCAGATAACTGAGACAGATGAGAGATGTGTGAAAACATGGGTTTCTAGTCTTCCCTTCCATCCCAGAGTCCCCTGTCTTCCCCACTCCTCCCTTCCCTGCCACTCTGTCTTGACAAAAGCTCATATCTCAAAGGTCCTGACCTGCTGAGGCACACACAGCCCCCACAGGGACACTCACACAAACACAAAGTAGCCACTCCCTCATCCACACTCTCAGATACTCTTTCACACAGCTACATGCACACTCAGAGCTACACACCCAATCACAGTCAGACACAGTCACCAACACAATCTCAAGGACAGACAGGCACACACCCAGAAAGTCTCAGAGAGTCACCAAGCGTCTCTCTCTCTCTCACACACTCTGAACACACATAGCCAAACAAAGACGCAGACTCACACAACCGCAAAACTACACACCTGGTCACACACACACGCGCACGGTCACAAAGTCTCTCTCACACACAGACAGATACAGAGCAATACACAGTCACACACAGAGAGAAACAGACGCACACAGTTGCACACAGGCCCCTGGAGACACAGAACAATGGGCACATTGTCTAGGCTGGCAGCAGCTGGGGAGGAAGGAGCGCAGTGTGGACGGAGGAGGCCGTGGGGGCTGCTGAACCACCCCCACTCACCCCCGCAGCATCCTAAGCCTCTTCTCTCTTCCAGAAGCTGGGTTCAGCTAGGGCCTGGATTTGCTGAGGGATGCAACTCTCAAGCACCCCCTCCCCAGCCTCCTTTGATGTCTGCTGGGAGATGCAGGGGTTCCCCCCCTGGTCCACAACCAGGCTCCCTCTGGGGCTCTGGGGACTCAGGGTCCTTTAGCCCTGATGCTCCTCTCCTCCTGGGATCATCTGGGTGATTTACCTCTTATCCCCACAGGGCAGTGCCTGGCAATGGGAGTCTTGGGAGCAGCTCTTAACCTCTGACTCCAACCCCTCCAGGACTCACACGCCCTCCATCTGAGCCCTGCCAGCCGGTGCGGGCAGCGCCTGGCAGCATTGTGGGTTTCTTATTGTGGCCGAGACAGAGACTCGGGTCATGATGTCCATCCCTGAGTGGCAGTGGATGGAGAAGTCATTGTCCTGTCAGTAAACTGCAGTGGGGCATGGTGCCCCTCCCTGTCCTAAAAGCTAGCTCCTCTTGCCTCCCACTCTGACCTGGCAGCCCCAGATCTCAATGGAGAGTTCTTCCAAGGCTTTCCTTACAGCCCCCACCCCCTTTTAGCTGTTCTCTCCAAATGCTCTCTCACCCTCAGCTACTGGTATCTGCTGTGTGCCCTTGGACATGTCACTTTCCCTTTCTGAACCTCAGTGTTCCAGTCTGTAAAATGAGGGGTGCCAATGAAGCTGAGAGCATTCTGTAGTCTCAGAGTGGTGTTGGGGTTGGAGGCTACAGGAGTGAGTACTGAATGTAGAAGCCACTTCAGCCCTCCCTGGCCCTATGTGGTCAGATCTGTGGGAGTTCCTGATTTCTCAGGCCCTGAGGTGTCTCCACACCTCACAGCCTCAGGCCTCCCAGGAGGCTTTACTTGGAGGGAGGGCATGAGGGAGAGACACGCTGAGCTGGCCAGGGCACAGCCCTGCTTTTGCAATACTTTGCTTCCTCCACCCCCCACCCCCTTCTTCCTGGGGGCTGAGGGCAGGCAGGCAGTTGGACGCATACATCCGGGGTTGGCCTGGACTCTGGGGTTCCCCCTGGTCTAGGACAAGGAGGAGTGTAGAAGACTCCAGCTGGAGAGTCTCCAGCCACTGCCATCCTGCCCAGCCTCCAGGGTCCCTCACTTGGGCAGAGCTGAAGGCCAGGCTGGACAACCTTGGGGGCTGTCTTCAAGGGACTATCCAAGGGCCCTCCTCTTCAGGAACTGGGTGCTCTAAGGTTTATTGAGCCCCGTCTTGGGCTTCCTTTGCCTGCTTGAGGGGAGTCCTGATGTAGGGGAGCAGATGGGAGAGCACCAAAGTCAGACTGGTTATGTTCACGTCCCTGAGCCTCAGGCTCCTCATCTTTCAAATGGGAATGGAGAAGCCTCTCAAGGTCACAAGACCACCCCAGATGGGAGTTTGTAACAGGTCCAAATTGAGGGCAGGAAGGACGGAGTGTGACAGCTTGTCTGTAGGGGCTTAGTCTGACAGGCCACCTGGAGACCAAGAAGAGGGATGAGGGACGGGCCTCACCAGTCTGAACAGAGTGACCCTGCGGCGGGCCAGACCTCCCAGGCTGGACAGGGCAGGCAGGCAGGCGGACACGTGGGCGGGACTTCCGACAGGTCGGCCTGAGGGGGCATAGAGCCCAGCTCCGGCCCTGCGGCTTCCATGACCACATTCTCTAGAGTGTAACTCGGAACCAGCCGGCTGACGAGTCTGGGCATGTGAGTCCTTCGAAGAGTTCTAGGAGAATGACGGGGGCTGCCAGCGCAGGACCAAGGTGATGGGAGCCACTCCGGGAGCTCCCGCGTCCACCCTGGGAGGTGGGCAGTGAGAAAAGAGGGGATGATTGCTCCCTCCCCTTTCCTCTAGGAGCCCCCCTCCTCCTAGCTCGCGGAAGGACCCGCCTTTCTCTTTCCCACACCGGACACCACCTGCCCCTGGGAGCCGTGTGGGCTAGGGGGACGAGACCGCCAGCGTCGCCCACTGCGCAAGTGGGGCCCGCGACCTGAGCCCGCCTCCGCCCCTCGATTGGGCGCTCATT